ATGTAATTTACTATCACAGTTGTGAAATAATAATATTGAACGCTAACTTATAGTAATAAAAGAGCCAAAAAGCTTGCTTTCAAGTAGCCTTATTTTATAGCTTTGATTAAAGAGTCTCAAATCTCAAAGTTGAGTCATGGCAGACTCTTCTATCAATGGCCTCTGCCACTCCATAATGTTAGAACAAACAAGCTTCAGTTTGTCAGCTCATAAAGAATTATTTTTATGATTATTGGTGTGCCGGATATACTTACATTGTTAAGACGTTTTATTCTTGCTCAATCAAAGAAACAAAGCGTTGCCCTCTTGTGTCTGTCCTACCTTGGATTGATAGTTAGAAGGGCTTTGTTGGCGATGAAAGCATTGCCCTCTTGTGCCGGTCCTTCTTTGAATTGGTAGCAAACATGACAAACAATTCTAATGGTAGCAATCAAAAGAGAACTTTGGATATAGCATCAAAAATATCTTTTTCCAATAATTTTGAGAATGTCTCTGAGAAAAATATTCTGAGAAAAATATTCTGATTTTATTCTTTCAAGTATTTTGACATATCATCTTATCAAAAACTATTATTATTATTATTATTATTATTGTTGTTGTTGTTTTCTTTTCAGGTGGAGGATTATCGGATGCCTACAAAATTATTTCTTCTACTCATGATGGTAACAGGAGGAGATCTAATAATGTTGCATCCATCATCAATACTGTTTTAAAATTATAATTTTATTAGATTAAGCTTTCTGCTTCCAGAGTGAACATGCCCATTTGGTCTGTGATGGCATCAATGAAGAAATCTTAGCTCTGCTAAATGTCCATTTGGTTGCTTGAAGTTTAAAAAAAATGTAAGATAATGAGTTTGATATATTTTAAAATAATGTTATTTAAGTCCTGATTTTTTTTTTTTTTTAAATTCTCTCAAATATTGGGAGTTCATTTTTTTTTATATATAAGATGAATGAAAATAAAATTATTATTTATGAAAATTTATATTTTACTTGCTTAAAATTCGATGAGCCCTTTAAAATTTTATATTGCTTGATAAAAATAATATATTTATGTCATATTAGCTTCTTCTCTATGCTTGTGAAATTAACCAAAAGAAAATAGATGACATGAAAATCATTTCAATTTCAAAGTTGGTGAGAGCGCCAGCTGAGATAACGACTCATGCCAATCATAAACTAGACGGCCTGAGGACATTCAAAATCGTTGATCTTGTCCTATTGTTTTGGCGATGAATCTTATCCAATTGATGTGCGAGCGAAAAATTATTCTTTGTGGACACCGAACATCGTTCGGAGACCAATCAGAATAATCCATGTCAGTACTGCTTAGTAAAGCTCGGTACCACGGCTCGGTATCGTGCACAATATTGCTGATGTGACTCATTCTGATTAATCTTTAAATGTAGAGCTAAGTTCGCATCAGCACAAAATATTTCTCCAAAAAATTTAACGCGATTCAGATGGTTCCAATGGTAACGAAAACTTCGGTAGAGGTGGAAGCTATCGACATTGATTGTAAAGGCGTACACCTTATCAATGTATGATACTAAAAAGAATATCACACATAGTGATGCGTGCTGGCGAGGCTGCATTTTTTTAAACTAGTTTTGTAGACGTTTGAAGATTCATCCATTAACGTAATGTATAGTCATATCCAAATGAACATGAATGTATGGGTGGAAAAAAATTGGCATATTTAGGGCCACTAAGAAGCATAAGTTGATCTTCTTGATGGTTATTTTTCCTCTATAGCTCGATAAGGCTTGCGAGCTCATAAATAAGTCGAACTCGAGCCAACTTGGCTCACTTACACTCCTACCAATAGTCACCCAACTATACGTAGAACTTTTTTTTAAACTATACGTAGCATGCTACAACTAAATTCAATAAATGGCATAACTCTACAAACTTGGATGGTCTTTGATAAGTATAAATTATGTATTATTTAATATATTTTGTTTTCAGTGTAAATGTGTTATTTTTGTTTATTTTGTGCAGAAAAAGCTCAAAAAATGACATAAAATACTAAAGAAATCACAACATCACAACATAGGAAGAAACGCCGTCAGAGTACCACATTTAACACCATGAGGGGCCATATTTTGGACATAGTAGCATTATGTTTTTTATTTCATGCGCTATGGCAGCGACACACCCAGCTCCATAGTGTTGCCAGCATCGCTACATAAAAAACTCAATTTGCCAGTGCAAAGTTCTCAAGAATTATAATGCCACTATGCCACAATTTCTCATGCTTTCATGTCAATTTTTCTAATCGGGCACCGCAACGCTCGATCGTCAATAGCGTCGCGACATTGCAGTTGTAACTTTCAAGGCCCATGTTGTTCTAGTGAAAGGTCACGCCTATTCACTAAGCAAGCGTTCCACGCCATCAAGTGCCGCGATGGGCATAAAATTCAGAGCGGGTCGCTAGTTCATTTTAAGGAAATTGCGACGTCAATCTTTCAGGCACCGCAGTGCTAATGCCTTTTTGTGTGTTCCTATAAATAGGTATTATATTTTATTTATAGCGGAGTTCAGTCACCAGTGTAAATTCATTACTTTTTTAATGTACTTCCTTAGTCCCTTCTTAGAGTAAAATTTATGTGAGGCTAGAGAAGTACAAGATACAATCCGTTGAAGTATTTAACTTGAATTTATTGAAGCAACGTACCTTATAAGTAAAGAAAGAAGAAGTGTAAATTAAGGAGATACATTGATCATTTATGTTGATATCACTCTCTTACATTTTCATTCTATTATGAATTTAATGAAAATGTGTTTACTTGTCATTTATTTTATCTTTGGCTAAATTACTTACTTTAAATTGATGATACAAAGAGCATGTTAAGTACTAATGAAGGCTATTATTGTTTAAATGTCTAATGATATTTTCATTATTATCCTATTTTTTATTTAATGCACATAATGATCATATGTATATTTAAAATATAGTGTGTCGTATAGCCTCAAAGGTGGAATATAAGAATTACTAGGAGTATTGAAATAAAATATTAGTATGCTTAGAAATAGAATGTTAAATATTAAAGACTTTTAAGGAAATATTATAACTGTTGGAGGTCATCAAATATTCTTTTCACCCTTATAAGCTCGATAAAGGTCTAGGGATGTATATGCTCTGTATCACATTATCATGAAGAGTCTAATTTAGAACAAATACAAAATTTGCTTTAGTCAATCCCAAACATTTTTATTAAATATGGTATCCACTTTTTTTTGCGTACTATTTTATTCAGTGATAAAAACTTCAAAAACATAATTTTTATTTTAGTAGGATAATTCATGTAATTAGAGTTATCAATAATATTTTCCTGTAAGTAAGCATAACTTTTCCTCGTGGGTTCAACACTCTACTCTATCATTTTATTACTTGATTTAATACATATATTTGCATATATTAAGAGAGGTTTTATTATTCATATATCAAAGAAAATATAAGCATCATTTAAGATTGATAAAATACACAATTTTATATCATTCAAAAGTTCACTCCACAACTCCCATATATTGTCCTAGAATTAAATTTGGAAGAATTATATATTTATCATTTTAAGAATATATCAAAGCTTCTATAAATCATCAATATAAATAATAAACATCGAAAGTAACTAAAATCATATTCTTCAAGATATTTTACTATTTATTCACCCAAAATATCATTTAAAATAATCAGGAGATCACTATAATTACTAATTTATCATAACGTCCTAACAATAAAAAAATAAAAGTAAAATATAAAAAAAAAATTAAAGAAAACTTGAGAATATTTGTCAACTTCACTACAATTGGTCATGACCTCTTCCTTGACATGAAATCATTAAAATTCACATAATGAACTTAAAAGCTAGTGGTAATCTAAAACTCTCTAAAGCTTTCAATACAAGCACTAAATAATCAATATGAAATGCGCAATCTAATATAATTTTTGGTGACTCATCACATATAATAGTTATAATATTAATCATATTAGTAAATGTGATTATTATTTTTTATTAAATTAGCTATTGAGTAATGCTAATTGTTAAGCACGCTTCTCTCAAATAGTAGATGTTTCCTCAGTCTTCCATCCACCCTCGGCTGTACAGAGGGCGGTTCATTGCTCCATCTTTAAACTCCACGTGGCGGTTTAAATCAGCAGCCGGCCACCGTACTGCTGACGTCAAGTATTGATAAGGCCAAATCCTACCTCCTGATTCCTTGTCAACCGTAAATGCGAACCTAACCGTTCAAGAAGATTTTTATTTTTTATTTTTTATTTTTTTTCGAGCTGTAAAAATTTTATAAATTATTATTAAAATCTTAAAATTAAATCAATGAACAGAAAATTTATGTTCCTGCCCACAACATTTTTTTTTAAATATCCGGAAAAAAATTACTGCAGCGTACGACGCGTGGCGTTGACAGTTAGCATGCCACGTGGCGTGAGGTGCGCGTGTTGACGAGGTGGAGATGTATTAAGTATTGAAAGTTCACAGACTCGCTATTGCTGTTTTTGACCAAAGGGGAGTTCACCAACCTTCTATTTCATTGCTTTGTTAGTTTTTAATGTGCTGTTATTCTTCATTCACCGCTTTCCGCACCCACGACTGCCACATCATTATTAATATGACACGTGGCGTTCATTCAAACAGTCACATCCCGTGTTGCACGGGAAGAAGTGCTGAACGTGTAAGATCAACCTGTGGGTTTCTGTTCGATTTCAGTTACAAAAATCATCTAAAATTTTGATTTATTAGATTAATTAAAAAACTGCTACGTAAATTTGGGTGATTTCCGAATTAAAAAAAATTGCTCAATTTAAAAACTTTATTGCTATTTTATTGATTAATTATTATTATATTATTATTATTGCACCACGTCACCGTAATCGTCAGTTTCCCATCACTCCACTTCTCTTCGGTAAATCTCTCATTGTTTTTAAAAGCTCAGACGCCTCCTGTCCTTCTTCAATCTCCTTCAGCCAACTCTCACACGAAACCACTCACTTCTTCATCTCTCTCTCTCTCTCATCGATGGTCACAGAAGCCATGGAATCACCTGAATACAAAGTCTCTCCCCTGCCGACGTCGCCGTCTTCTTCAAATTCCAGCTCCGACGAACCCAAATTCCCCTTACTCCAAACCAAAAGAAAACTAAAGCGTTCAAATCTCATCCCCCAACCCCCCTCCGAAGAAGAAAACCTCGCTCTATGCCTCCTCATGCTCTCCGGCTCCCAATCCCCACCTCAAATTCTCTCCCACAAATGCTCTCTCTGTGGCAAATCTTTCCCATCCTACCAAGCCCTTGGCGGCCACAAAACTAGCCACCGAAAATCCACCCCCGCCACCGCCACCGAAGACCGTCCTTCCGCCGGCTCCCCTTCCGCCTCCGCAATGTCCGGCGGTGGGCGGGTCCACCAATGCTCAATTTGCCAAAAAACGTTCCCAACCGGTCAAGCTCTTGGAGGACACAAGCGGTGTCACTATGACGGCACCATCGGAAGCGCCGCCGGCTCCGGCCACCGTGGATTTGATTTGAATCTGCCGCCCGTGCCGGAAATAGGACTTGAACTTGGGGGCAGATGTAATTGGATTTCGGAGGAAGAAGCAGAAGTTCAGAGTCCGATTTCGGTCAAGAAGCCACGATTCTTCCTCGCAGCGTAGCCGGAAATTGAGAACTGGATTCCATCTCTTTGACTAACTTAGTCGGCGTGTACGCTTCGGCCTGGCCGACTTTGACATTTTTCTCTCTTTTTTTTTTCCTTCTAACGTCATAAGTTAGGTCTACAGGAATTAATACATAGGGTATGCATCCACTAACAGGTAAATCGCTCATGACTCATTCTAACCGTTTATTTATCCTTAAATATTTTATTTAATTCAAAATCTAAAATAAAATTTCAAAATTATTTCGAAATTTTATTTTTAAATTTTGAATAAGACAGCAACTGCTCTTCCACAATCATCAAAATGTTATTTTTTTATGTACACAGAATTATTAATTTTTTTTAGAAATATTAATCTGTTGATTTATTCTCTCTGCCTGCATTGTGAACAATTCATTAAATCTGTGATATCTTTTGATTTTATTCTGCAAATAATTTGGATCCTCTTTTGGATTCATTTAGGATAATTTTTTATTGTTTTTAAAATAATTTTTTTACACAAAGTTTAATTTTTTTATAAAAAACTACTTTAAAAAGTAAGAAATCAGTCCCAAATGAAGTCTTAGGCTTCGTTTGGTATAACTTTCGTACTGCATTTTAAAATGAATTATAGTACAAAAATTTAAGAAGTCGTTTTAGAAAGCAAGAAGAAAGTCATCCCAAACAGAAAATTATTGTGTGTGGTGTCAGCTCACGACCGGAGATCAATCCGGATGCGCTACATCACCTAATACGTTAATCTCTCATCCCAAACGAAGCTTAGACTAAAAAATTTTATTGAATGAGATGGAGAGAAATAACGGTTCTTCGGTGTTTCCTTATATGAAAAATCAAAGCGGGCAGACTAATGGATACGCCAGACGTGTGTCCGCAGCCCTGCACTGTGCAATTTCCTCTTCACACGCAATGAAGAGCTTGAATCAAGGCTAAGAAATTACTAAATCTGCAAAGAAGGTTTCCAATCTTTAATATGAACGGTACAATTTTCAACCTTTAATTTTCATTTAAACCCTAATTAGTGACACTTATAACACCCTAACGATCAACTTTAATAGTATTAATTTTAAAGAATAAATGGAAAATTATAAAATATGTTATTTAAATTTGTGATCTTGGAAAAACAAAATTAGCTATTAAGTATAATTATAATATTAATCTTAGAATTTATTTGGGATGATTATAGATTTTGTAAAAGCAATTATGAAGTTGTTCTAAGGAAAATTAAAATTTTAAAAGATGACGTACATATTATGAATGTGTTCTTTTTAAGAAAAAAATCAAGCAATTGCTTTTTGTTGCCACATATTAGCAACTCTAATTGTGAAAAGTAAATTTTTAGCGCAAAAAATTTCTAGAATATAACGAGAAAATACAAGAAAAAGAGTATTTATGAAAAAGAGTATTTATGATTGAAAAAACAAAAAAAAATTATTCCAACGAACATTTAGGCTTCGTTTGAGATGGCTTTCTTGTTGGTTCTTAAAACAGCTAAAATTTTTGAAAAAAAAAAAATTGCTTAAAATTTTTGAACTAGAAAGCTGCTTTATGAAGCAGTAAGAAAGTCATCCCAAATGAAACCTTAGTTATTTTAATAATAAATAAATTTAAGTTATTAAAAAATGTTGCATTTATATAATATTTTTAATAAATTTATATATTGGCATTTTTTATTTGAGATTATTGAAGTCAATTTTAGATAAAGTTTTTAACATTTTTATCAGGCATGACTAATTTATGATCTCTGCCTTGTCATTTGAGCCTCATTTAGGTCTATTTAAGTCATTATAAAATACTCAATGTAGATTATTTGTTAATTGAATCATATTTATTTAGCATTGAAATAGCGGCAGGTGGGAACTACAGTTATCTCGGGAGGAGTTGCCGTGGGAATTAGGTTGTGCCCTTGTGGGCTACGTGCTGAAGCACAGAGAATTTATGTGCCAATCATTATATATTTTTTTTATTTCTAGTAATTAAAAAAATTATTAGAATAGATCAAATTTCCATTCTAAATTTATTTGAAGTTATATAAGAAGCTTTTTGTGCTCCAGTCTTAGATGATTAAACCATCAAATTCGGTTCAAAATAAATTGGAGAATTCTAGTAGGTTAAATTTGAGGCTCAACCTGTCCCACCAAAAAAGAAAAAATATTGCAGTTGCGGGCAAGAATATACGTTACAATAGAGTAAAAGAATAAAACGACTTAGCAATATATGTATATCCGGCACACCAATAGATAATTGAGAGATAGAAACACCATAAGCTTTTTTACGTGGAAAATCAGGAAAGGGAAAAACCATGGGGCCTGACCCTGATGAAAAAATTCCACTAAAGTTGAATGAATTGCAAAGCTTGATTCGCATCTTTATTTGAAGATGAAAGTATTACAGTAAATTGGTGATTTTGTCACATAAAATTACTCTTAACATTCTAACTCTAAAAATGACTAGAGATTTTGTCACCTATATAGGTTAAAAAAAAACTTACAGATGTTCATGTTTCAAATAACCTTTGAATCAACGAAGCGTCCGCTCAGAGTTTTTTTTTTTTTTTTAATTTCTTTGATTATTAGATCTTTGGTCAAGTATAATTTGGTTCATCACGAATTGGTTCTAGAACCTTGTCATGAACTCATGATAATATGAATGTGGTGAATATGGGTTTGTGTGATGTTAACATGATGGTTGATGTCAAATTAGCTCTATCAGATGTTGCTTCACTTATCGCAATTGAGAAGGCTCTGATGGATGTTCTTAATGGTTTGTCTCATGATAGATTGTATGACTCCTCTAATAGAGTGGTTGTTTCCTTTGATAAATCTCACTTGGCTTCTTTGGAACCGACTTTGTCTGCTAATGTTATGGTTACAAATGAGAGTTTGACTCTTATTGATGTTCCAGTTTCTCTCATTTTTTATGATGTTTTGAAAGCCCAATTGGCGTTAAATGTGATGGATTATTGTGTGGCCCAATGTGATTGGTTTGATGAGTTTCCTTCCTCCTCTTGTGGTGTGGAGGATTTTTTATGGGCTTGAGTTTCAAGCGAGGTATTACTTGAATGTTGGTCACATAGTTGACAATGCCTTTTCCCATGGGTGTGGTAAAGTGACGTAGGCAGAATTCTAAAAAGAAGTAATTCTTGTTGGACTGTGTTGGTTTAGTTTGGGTATTTTGGTTTGAAGGCTTGGCTGTTGGTTGTGGTTGCTTTTCTACTGTGTTGTTTGGGGTTGGGTTGACTATGGTGTTGGATTGGGAGTCGGGTGGGGTTTTTATTTTCTTGCGGTGTTGGTTGGCTTCGTCTCTGTTGGTGGTTGAGTTTATGTTGGTCTCCTCTTTTGCATTTTCTATTATGCCTCTTTCTGCAGGTTGATGTCTTGTTGTATCTCTTATGCTGTTGACATTGGTTGCTTCCTGTTCACCGCTCATGGGTGGCTCTCTATGTGATCCTGGCTGTTGCAATTTTTTGTCTTTTCTTTTATTTGATTTTGTATTTAGATTAAATATGATGCTCTTAAACTTTGCTTTAAATGATGCATTTTAGGAGGCTTTGGATTCATAAAAGACTTGTATCATTATTTTGAATTAACGCATATGCCCCGACGGTGGGTTTTATAAAAAAAAAATGTGGTCCGGGCCCCCGATTTGGACCCATTTGGGCTTGGGTCGGACCAATTTCGGTGTTATTCGGTTCGTCCCTTTGAGATGTTTGATTTGATTGTAAGTCTCCTAAAAAAATTCCAATTTGAATATGCCTCGAGATTCGTGCTCGATCAAGGCAATTTTTTAGGACGTATCAAGAAGATTAGTAAATAGCTTACAACAAGATTTTAAAAGAAAGCTGCGTAGAAATTACAACATCATAAATAAAAAAAATGGAAATATAATGACTAAATTAATTGCTTGTTAGCCATTACTTCAAAGGATTAATTACAGGTTGTTTGGTTCATTGAAACTCGGAATTTGGTCAATTATTTATAAGATTCTATTAGGATCGTAGCTTGCTTGAGGGAAACCATTAATCATATATGCTTACGCACTGATCATCTTATTCCTTACAGAACATGTAGATCGATTTTCTTTCAAGACAGAAGAACGTGCTTGATTTCTTCATTAAAACTTCATAATAAATTTCAGATATTAAATTCGTATCATGTCATTTATAATATTATCTGAATTAAGTTAGTTGGCCAGCACTATAAGAATATGAAGCTGATAAGCTTATAAAAATTAGTAAAACAGAGTTTGTTTGGGGATACGGTCCAAAGGCCAACGAGAATGTGCTACGTCACCCAGTACCCAACAATACCCAGCACCAGCATCGATCAAAAAAGTAATGTGGTGCGTTCTTGTTATCTCCGAACGCATCCGGTTTCCGCGCAGAATAATTTATCTTGTTTGAGGCGGTTACAATATTTTATAAATGTGATTGTGAAGTTATTGTAGGAAAAATATTTGTTTTGAAAGTTGATGTGAATATCATAAATATGTTCTTTTTCTTAATTTTGAAATACAATTTGTTTAAGTTAACATAAATTAGCAACTCGGTTTATAAAAATTAATTAGTTTTTCATCATATAATTTTTTTAAAAAACTGCAAGAAAATAGCAGTCAAACTACTTTAGTTGCGGTCTGAAAAAATAAAGTTGTGGAAAAGCTATCCTAGATAAACCATAATTTGATTATATTTTTTTAATAAAATTGAAAATTTCTTATGATATTGTATATCTCCAAAGTTTAATGATTTTAATTTCCTTTTGTTTTTAAATAAAAATGTTAAATTTTGATTTAGGGATTATTTGGAACATCTATAGTTTTTTTATAAATTTATTGCAAAGTAATTGTGAGGAAAATAATTTAATTATTCTAATTGAGTAATTGAACAAAAAATAACTTTTCATCCTATTTTTTTTAAATTGTTAGAAAGTTGTAGTAAAACATAATTTAATTAATATCTAAGAAATAAAATAGTAAAAAAGCCGTCCGAAATAGAATCTTATTTTTTCTAATTATTTTTTTTGTGTGATGGGACAATTTTCTCATTATTTTTTAAAATAACTTTTTAATATAAAAATTAATTTTTTTTATTAAAAATCTACTTTAAGAAAAGGTAAAAATTAAAAAAATCGCCCCAAATAAAGCCTAAGAAAAAATAAATCACACGATATCAATATTTATGTGATTTTGTCAATCCATCTAAAATGATTAAATGCATAGTCATTATAGAATTTTATACAAAATAAATCAAATCATTAAAACCGAGTAAAATTTCACCATATTTGAATATAAT